CCAAACACCAGCAATAGCTATTGCACTGACAGAAAGTTGGGGAGTTTTTAATAGAAAGAAGCCTAATATATATTAAAAAAGAGAGACTTGAACTTTCTTACCTTAAATATTATTCAAAATCAAAATGGTTTATAGATTTTACATATTTAAGAGCTTAACAATTACCCAATTCTTTAAATAAAACTCGAAAAAAATCTCAAAAAATATATATATATCCCAGTGCACCCTGTTCAGTGAGTAGCAAAAGCAGCAGCTGTCTGTGCATTCGGGATTTGAGCTTGGGACGCAACGAGGACACTCCACACAAACGACTTGCCCGCAGCGCCATCATCTTCAGCCTCAGTATCCCCAGCAGCAGCAGCAGCCTTTCCTTTTCGCCAGCCTGCCTTTCAGCGCGTCCTGCCTTCTTCGCCCTTCCAGCTTCGTTCTGGCATCCTGGCATCCGGCGTCTGTGTGCGTGTCTATGCATTCGCCGCTGTGGTATTTTCCATGTCGCTGCATTGCTTTCAGCATCTGGCTGGCGACCAACATTCAAGTCAGACCGACAACTTGGCATTTAAGGAATTTCCAAGAATAAATTCGCCTTGTCTGTTTGCCTTTAACGCTGCCAGCAGCCAACGCAGCGCAGCCTTTCGATTGCCGTGTCAGGTGAAAGACTCTTAATTTAATTAATTGACAACATGGCACTTGAAGTTTTTCACCTGTGTGTATTTTTTTTTTGTTTTTTGCAAACAACGCACGTTTGTTCACATTGAGTTGATAATTTAATTTAGCAAAAATACAAAAGGGGTTATAACTGCGCAAAATGTGTTCTCCTCCGGGCAAATCATTTTGATTTCGTGTTCTAAAAATTCGATTTCAAGTTATTCTGATCTTGATAGCGCAAATAATGTTGTGGGTAAAATCAATTTGTCGGTATAAAAGCGACAATTTTGCAAAAATAAAATGTACATAGAAAAATGCACGGGGAAAAAAACTTGAATAAGAAAATTATTTATAATGAAATGCATCATTAAATGAAAAAATGTAACTTCAAATTATTTTATAAGCTTATGAAATATATATTTCTAGAAAATATTGATATTGATTATTAAACGAAGATAATAAATAAATATTTAGATATATTTTATTGTTTTCAGATCTGTTTTCTTAATGTCAAGGTAAATAAGAGAACGAAATTTTTAAATACTAAAAAGCCAAAGCTTAAATATAAACTTCTTGTATGTGAAACATATTCTTTTTATATTTTAAAATAAATTTTTTCTTTAAAAATATATGTTTATCTATTAATAAAAGAATTAAATTCCGGAATAATATTAGAAAAGCTTTAGTAATTACAAGAAATATCAACATTTTGCTTAAATTTGACATAAACATGTACCAGAAATAACTACTTTTTCATAAAATTTATTTTTAATATTTGAAAATTAATTTTCAAACCCCAAAAATCCAATATTCCCTGTGCATAAATTCGAATTCGTGTGCTTAAATGCTGCTCACACATGATGTATTTGCTGTGCAGGTCAGTGGAAGTTCAGCTGACTCTCTAACAATGCCACACATATACTAACACCCACTCTCACAGACACACACACACACACACACACACACAGAAGCATAGAGAACGCCATAAAGTATGCATCAGAAGCGTGAACATAGTGAAGCCCCAAGCCGAGGCGCTTGATAAATATTCAAAATTATTTGCATGACCAGCGTGGCAGGATTCAATGGCAACGGATACGGGAGGATGCTGAATGCTGACTGCAGGATGCAGGAACAAAGGGACGAGGAGACCCCTTCCGTCTCTTACACTTACACACACCTACATATATATATAGAACGCTCCTTCGTTTGCATACTTGATTTGTGTGTGAGTATGTGTGTCGCAGCAATTTATGTGGCATTGAGAACTTTAGTAGATTTGACATTCTAACGCTCCCCGACAAAATATATGTACGTATGGATTCCATTTTGTGTGGAGAGGGTCGTAAATATGCCAGCATGACGTGTAATTCGATTTATATGCATGGCTCCCTATAAAAATATGGCCTTGCAATGCCCTGCCCCCCAAATTGACGCCTAACAAACTAAGTGAACATAGTATACGTATACGTATTTTGGGCGGAATTAAAAACAAACATAAATCTGCATATATAAATTGGGATCAAATCGTTGCTGGTGAATAAGATATAAGAGCTTAATAAGAGCTTAAAAATATTCGCAAGGGATTGGGAAAATAAAAATATATACAAAGAAATAATAGATTTATCACATGAAAAAGGTTCAAATAGAAAATGTTTGATGGAGTCATTTAACATAGTTGCAGGCGGGAAATTTTTAGCTGGCAAAAAATTAAATTAAACTGGTAATGGAATATTTTAATTAAGTTGAAAGTAATTGAATGAAATGAAATAGGGAAAATAGAGGTTGTAAGTTCGTAGATTTGGTTTTAAATCATTGAATACTTAAGGGTGTTCTGTTGTTAAATTTTTAGAAAACATATAAGGTATTAAATAATCATGATCATTTAACAAACTAATTTTTACAATAATAAACTGAGTAACTCCTTGATGAATTAATGAAGTTCTCTTGATACAACATTTAAATTAATTTCATTAGTTTATAGTTAGCTGTACAAAAAACAATATATTGTATTAAGAAGCTGACAATTTTCCAATTATAAATACTAATTCAATATCAAAATCTACTTTACCATTAAAATTCATTAGTGGCTAGTTACAACGCCTCAAAAAACAAGAATATGCCATAAGAAGCTGGCAAATTTTACCAATTATACATACTAATTAGATTTAAAAGCATTACCAGGTTCTCCTTTATATTCTCACAAATCACTAACCGAATTTAAGCAAAACAATTAGCAGGACTCTTGGGGGGGAAAACAAGAAGAACGGAAATCAAAGTCAGGAATTGCTAATGGATAATTTTACACATGAAGTCATTACCATTGAAGGAAGTAAGCAATTTGTTCGGACATCAGTTTCGGTTAAACCAACTGCACACAAACCAAAATTTTGTGGCTAAAAAGGCCTGCAGGCATTCTGTACACTCATCTATATACATATATAAAGGACTTTGCTGCCTGCTGTTGTCTTACCTTGATTACATTGATGCATTTCTACATCATTAAGCCGTCTAAACACCATTAGCACAGCCAGCAGCCAAGATGTTGAGGTACGTTGTGCTTGTGTGTTTGTAGTGCGTAGGTGAAAGTCAAGGATAAGGATCCCAGGCAACGACGCAGGACGACACTCTGCGTGTGTGAGCATCACTTCCGGTTGAGTGCGCCCCAGGGGACGGTGCAGATGCTTGTAAGGATTGTATATCGAGAGGAAAATTCCAATATGACAAAAATATTATATGGAAAATATCGGACATGTGATGTTTTAAAATTTTTAACTACCGAAATTCATTGAAATTTCCAAAATCACAAAGATATCATATGGAAAATATTGTACATGTGATATTTAACATTTTTTAACTATCGAAATTGATCGAATTTAATAGTAAATTATCCAAAAAAAAGGTTTTTTAATTTATTTTTCTTTATTTCCTATTATAATGTCAAACATAATATTGATTTATAGCTCACCAAATATCGATTTATTTATAAACTTCCAAATCAAAACAATATTTCAATATTCTCTAACATCCCTATTGCCGGAACCAACTAATTTACCATTTCCCTCTAATGGGAAATCAATGGGCTGACTGCCTGGGCCACACAACTTATCCCGGATCCTTGTCCAGCTCTAAGCTCTATATGGCAACCAAAAACTGAATCATCCCGACGGAAGCCAGCTGCCAGCAAAACGCGCTGATGACACTTGAATGAGTTTCGGTGTCTTTTGTCGCCACGAAGCGGCGCCTCACGCTAAATTTCACATATTATTTATACATAAGGATTCAACTGACCATAAGTTATGTATATTAGCTAATCGTTAAAGTTGCCTTCGGTGCTTTATGAACTTGCTGGCATCCTGGCTTCTTCCATCTCCACCACATTCCCCCGCACTAACGACCGCATTTACCCATTCAATTTAACCTCCTGATGGGCAATCAATTCCCCGATTCCCGGGGACTTGGACGGAAAAGAGAGAGTGAGCGTGCTGGGGGTATATCGGCTATTATTGGATTTTGTATTTGCTTGGACGGCTGCTGTGGGCATTTATTGATTTTATATCAATTAGATCTGCTGTCAACTGCGTTTGATGTTCACTTTATCTTAGGATTTAGCAGGTAAAATAGGCATTTTGTTTATTATTTATTCCTTGTTAGAAAAGTCACATCTTTGGAGGGTAAAAGTTCGATTAGACTTTAATATATCGAATTTTAAGATATCGAAAATATCGCATTTAACGTTTAACAAGAAAATAAACTGACTTTGGCCAGGAAAACTTTGTATACCCTTCGATATTGCAATTGAATCATGTCATCGCATTAAAAATCTATAAAAGCTAAGCCAAAAAATATACTAATTTCAGTATAACAAATTTATCAGAAGGTTAAATCATCTATATATCGATAAAATATCGATTTTTAAGAACAATTTTTAAATACAAAAGCAAATAAGCTGCTTGATAACCTTACTTAAACTGCTTTTGCAATTATTTTCATAGCTCTCTTATAACAAATCTCCCCCCAAAAAACACCCTTCAAAAAGCTATTACTAACATTTTTGGCGCTAAAAAGGTTGCCCTCATCATGGACAACTCATCTCCCCTATCAAGTGCCGCCTCAGAGGGTTAATAAAAATACCAGGTCACGCTTCTGGGGGCGAACTTAATGCCAAAGCATTAGGAGTGCTGGGCAAAGCCAATACAATTGTAACCCTTGGCTTTGTTATGAGGGCATTAAATTCCAATTACACGTTAAGTTGCCGCGTTAATGGCCAAGTTAATGCACTTGCAACTGCCGTTAGCCGTTAGCTAGGGGCGTGGCAAGCACATACACTCCCCCCGGAAATGACAAAGCACCAGAAATACATTACATTATTACATTTATATTTATATAAGTATATGCATGGAGTATAAAATGCTTTGTACATGAATTGGTGTTGCTGATGATGCTTTGTGAGTGAGTGTGTGTGTTGTTCCCTGTTGTTGTTGTTGTGTATTTAAAATTGTGTTAATCTTATGATTGGTAAGTCAAATGGGGGGCTTAAAGTCATAATATGCACGCGGCAATTGCTGTTCTCGCTTAGGATCTAGAGTTAAGATTACAATGAAGCGGTTAGTCCCAGCGCCTTGTCAGTAAATCCAGGATAAAGTAGTTAGTGGATCGTGGATCTATAGCCTATTCAGTGTATTAATACATAGCTTCAAGCCAAGCTTGCAATCTTGCTTATTTTTTTGTGGCGAATGCTTTTGGTCTTTGCTTTTTTCTTTTTTTTGGGATTGCTTAAACGATGCTGGGGTGGGCCTCTTTCGGCCTGTATTCGAACTAAAGTCTGGTTCTGTTTCTTGACAATCACATTGGTTCTTTCACAGAGATGGATCCTAGGGATCAAGGGAGAGTGGCCACACGATCTTAATAGCAGCACCAGCTGGGCCGCTCCACCTCTCCAAGCGCAATATGCTCGATACTCCACGGCGCTGTCTCTAGCCTGCCCACGCCATTGGTCTTTACATCCTCACCCTCCACGGTCAGACCTATGTCTACGTAGGGCAGCCGAAAGGCAGCATTTCCTGGACTTCTGGCCAGAGCAGCCACCGTATGACTAAAGGCAGTATTGGTGTTGGTGTACGCCAGCGAATCAGTGGACTCAAAGGAGCGCAGCGACGGACTCTTGCCCTCATCCGCCAGTCGAACTAAGCCCTGAGCCGTTGATATGAAGACCTGTTGCAGGCCCTGATCCGTTTCGGTGGAGGTCTCAAAATACGTGGCTCCTATGGAGGTGGCAAAGACAAAGGCCTCTTCGCGGGACACTGCCCGCTGTGACTGCATATCCATTTTGTTGCCCACCAAAGTGAGTATCATGGGATCCTGAACATTGCGATGCAGTTCCTGTATCCAAGACTTGATTTCTGTGAAGGTTTTGTACTGCGTCAAATCAAAGACCAGAATGGCAGCATTGGCATTCCTATAATACATGGGTGCCACGGCTCTATATCGCTCCTGGCCAGCTGTATCCCAGATCTTCAAGGAAAAGAGTTCGGAAGTAAATAAGTAAAATAGTTTTTGATGAGATAAATATTTTAAAAAATATTTAAAAATTAAATGCACTAATTTTCCATAGTTTAAGACATTTTCTTTATAACATCAAACTTTTCCCTTTCAAAATACATCCCTCTGACCTGCCACTTGAACTTTAATTGAGCCATTCAGCGCTTATTCCGCAATTGTGCTCTTTATGGCCGCGCTTTCCCACAGCAATAACAATCATATTGGATGTGGGATCTGCACTTCAGGTCTCGAGAAGGGACTTCTCTTCTTTATGCGCTCGATAATAAAAATTTTTTTTGGGGCAACGACATGTTCATTGGCGAAACTTAATCGAAGCACACACAAACAGAGGGACGGAGACAAAGAGCTTCGAATCTATGCGATATGCGAATGGTGAAAAAAAAACGAAGAAAAATCTGCCAACTATATCCCCATTCGGTATTCATACTTATTGTGGTCAGACACAACGGGTGCTTCTGCTGGTCTGTTGAATCTGACACTTTGGGATTGATGGGACCTGCTTCGAATGGGATTTTAAATGCATTAAAGCTAAGAATTTTATTAGGAAAATACAGAAATAGTTAATTTTGCTATTTTAAATAAGAAATTAATGTATTTTTCTGCGATATATATAAATTTTAATATGAAATTTGAATAATTTGATTAAATAATATGTAAATGGTAAGGAGTGTGAGCAATAACATAAATTTCTAGCATTTTAAACTTTCAAAAACATAATTATTTAACTTATTTGTAATATTAATTAATAATATTAAATGTTATTATTAATATAATATTAAATTGATATATTTTCCTGTCAAATATTACAATTGTAATATGAAATTTAATTAATAAGTAAATATTTAGGACAGAGAGTGAACTATTTTATACATTTCTAGCATTTTAAATCTTTAAAAATTACATTTTATACTTATTTTTAGCTTTAACTTGAAATTAATCCGTTTTAACGTTGTTTTAAAGTCTAAGAACCTAAAAAAAAATGTTAGAAATGGTTTTTTTAACCCTAAATCCCAAAAACCCTACACTATATAATTCCCAAACACCTTGTTAGAGTAAAACCTAGTTAACCAAGTACACCCACTTCCACTTATTGTAAAAACCATTATTATATGTGCTTGTCTACGTATAAAAAGCGAAATCATCCAAGAGAATATATGGCAGCCAGGGCCAAAGGGGTGCTGTAACCCTATCATCGCAAGGAGAAGCTGCTTTTGCTGCTGCCCGCGCTCAGCTTATCAATAAACTATAAAAAAAAGGAAAGGCGTGCTAAAAAAAACACCAAAATAAACAAATAACACACAAAGTGCAGTGGACGCAGAAATTGCAAAATAAAAAACAAATAAAGTGACCGAAACAGGGGGGAGGAACGGACCGGACCGAACCGGACCGGACAAATAAAGGACCCGGTGGCACTGCCAGTGGCAGAATAAACCCAGATTAGCGTTCCGGCAGCCAAGCTGGCAAATAGGATTAGTGGAAGAGCAGAGGCGTGCCGAAGCGGAGGCAAATTCCTTTGGCTTTGGCTTTGGCTTCGGCTTTTTTACGAGGCAATTCCATTTGCGTTGGCGCCTCTTTCCCTACCTCCCCCCCAAAAGAGTTGGCTGCAGTGATATTGTACATGTGTTTGGGTATACGCACTTGCAATTTTATTTTGACCTCCTCCAGAATGATGTTGCATGTGAAAAAGGACACGGCTATCGTTGGCACTTCGCTTTCGCTGCGGTGTAGGGTGTTTTTTATATACCGGATGACCAGACGGGTTTTGCCCACACCTGAAAAGGGGTAAATAAATAGTTTATTGTATTTAAAATTGATATTAGGACTTGATAATATTTTAAAATAATTTATTTACATTTTCTAAAGATTTCAGGCTATTAATTTAAAAATATTTATAGGTTTATGTATCTTTTAAAATGCAAAATATAAGAATTTAAAAATTGAAACATAACACATACTGAAAAAATGTTTAATATTCAAAATAGTCTCCTTTTAATACTCCACTACTTATCAGTTTTAATTAAATTAACATACAAAATAAAAAAATAAAAAATACACAACTAACAAAGTTACAAAACTGACTTCATTCTCGTTCGATCACTATTTGTTTATAAATCCCCCACAAATTATCAGCTTTGTTTTCAACAAACGCGCCACAGCTCACGCATTAATTGACCACTGATTAATCATGGCTAAATAAATATATAAAATATAACTATAACAACAAACAAACAAAATTGGAGACGCACTCGTCGAGCAAAGGTGGTAAACACTGATAAGGAAATCGCGTACCAACTGCAAAACTCTTTGTTTGCGGCTCTGAAAAGCCCCTTACTTCTCCGATATCCAGAGTATATGTGCACTGAATCATCTTGGAAAGAACAGATTCTATATACAAATATGTAAGTGTCTCCAGAAAAGTAACGCCTATCAATCTGTGAATTCCTTTGTGGCGTAAAATTAAGCTCATCCACATGAATATGTATGGGTTATACGATGTGTGTGTCTATATCCACATTAATGTACATACATTGTAGGTGTCTTGGGTAAACGTTGGCCTTGGGGGACAATTTAAATATTGACATTACAAATGTAATAGTTGCCTGACCCCAATATAGTTATTGAACCTGATAACATTGAATGGAACCTAAAATACTATAGTCTTTCGGCTTAATCTGTTCAGTTTAGGTATATAAAATCTGACTTAATCAATGGAAATTGAGTTAATAAGGAAATCTTTAAGGCTGTGTCAAAAATAAATATCTTACTCAAACAGATTCAACATAATCTAGTAATCTTTATCTTCCCCCTTTATAAAACCCCATACTAAACGTTCCCTATAAGCAGGGCCACCTGTCTGGCTCAAGTCATGGAATGCAGCTGAGAGATAAGAAAAATCCCAACCAGTCTAAAAGGCAGGCCTTCCCCCCATTAAAGCCTTTCGGGTGGCTCATCTTCAGCAAGATTGCAGATTTGAATTCCGCGTTCGGGGCTTCCCCTTCATACCCAGCTCAAGGCTGTGACTTATCAGCGGCCTCTGCCTCCTCCGAGAGTGACTCTTATCAATTGCAAGAATAAGAATTACTTGCATTATGCGGATCGCTGACTTTTTTATATAAATGAAAGCCAAAGAGGCATTCAATGAATGAACTGGGTTTTTTGTACTCACCTCGCGAGCCCAGTACCACCACTTTGCCCTCAATTCCGCGCATCTCGCCAAGATTAACGGATTAATCGCATTGCTGGGTGACGTTTGCCGTGGAATGATGTGTTGTTTGCTCGGCTGCTGCTGCTGCTGGTGCTGGTGCTGCCTCTGCTGCTGGTTTTGTTTTTGTTTTTTTGGCTAATAAGGCCACTTGGCTGTATTTTCTAGGTCGAAATGAGCCAGCAATTGTGGCTTTTACGGGGCCTGATGTGTACGGTTCCTCGGTCACAACTGAATTTATCGCTGTCGGTGGGGACTTTTGGGGCGGGCGCTACGATTAAACGCGCTCTGTCAGCAGCAAAGATAAAAGATTTAATAAATTTTAAGACTTGTTGTTATTGTTCGTTGTTATACAGCAATCAGCTGATTACCAGGGCTGCAGGCTCGTGTGTTTCTCTAGAAGCAACGATAGTTGCAGATATCGATAGTTTCACGGTCACGGTAACGGAATATCGAAAAACCTTAATTACAGTAAATTTTAGGGGTTTTATTTAATAAACTTAAATATTAAATTATGAATTCACAATTTTGGTTTTTGACGCCTTGAAAAACCTATTTTTCCAAATAAACATTTATATTTTATTTATATATTTTTAAACATTTCTTTTTTTATATATTTAAACGCTTAAATAATTTATTTAACATTTATATTTATATTTAACTATTTTATTTATATTTTTAAAATCTATAGTTATATTATTTATATAAATATAAAAATAAACTATTCCGTGATCACAGTTTAGTGACTGCCATCCGATAGTATCGCCTATCGTTGCTGGCATTTTCGTGACGCGTTAGCACCACCGCCAAAAACCAGGCAGATGTTCAACGCCACAGCGAGCGATTTTTAACAACAGTGTTTTAAAACTGAATTAAACTAATTAAATGTGTTTTAAGACAATTATTTAAGATGAACTAAGCCCCGCCAAGGTCGCACGCACAACTGGACACCGTAGAGAGGCTCGGAGCGTGCGACAAAAGGGCAATAAATGCCCCTAAAACCCGGCGGTCTACGCGCGTTTTTCGCTTGGGCGGCTTAGTTTTTCCCCCCTACCTGGGAAAAGTGCCACATTTCCAAAAGGTAAATGCACTTTCATTAAGATTGATGCGCTTGTGATAAGGAAATCGTCAATGCCTAGCCTTTGCGGACTTTCGCTTTCGTTTTTCCGGAGCTCCACAAAGTGCAGCAAGAAAAAACTAGAGCGAGCCTGTACATAAGGCCGCGTGCCTTAGCCAAGAGCTATAACTACAACAAAAAATCTATTTTTATTTAAAGAATGGCCACCAGCAACTCTTTAAGGAATAAAATAAACAACAGCTATGAATCGGAGCCTTCCACGGGAAGCGGGGTGAGATATAATATGATTTAAAAACCTTTTAAAACCTCTAAAACCATGAAAAACTCTTTTTTGCAGTCTTCGCTCAGTGAAAACAATGAGGGCCACATATCTGACGAGGAGCACTTAAATCTACCGTATCTGATGAAACCAAAACCACTGACCGAGACCCGTACAACACCAAAAAACACTACTCCACCACCTGCCTCTGCCCCAAAGACCGGCAGCCAAGAGTCCCAGTTCAAGGGCTTCGGCGACAGTCCGTATGGCCAGGTTAACAAGCGTTTGTATGGCTCCCAGCTGCAGAACCTGAAACTGCCCGAGGTGGAGCCTCCCCCGGCCAACCGTGGTCCCTCACCCGGAAAGATAGTCTTTCCCCGTTTCTACGACTCGCTGATCGAGGAGAACAGCTGCAATGCCGTGGACATGGCCGTGTCGGTGTCGGTTGAGCTCACAACCACCACGACGACGACGATAACTACGGGCAGTCTCTCCTTCGATGGCAAAATCAAAAGTCTGACTGAGGAGCAGGAGAAACCGGGTACCTCCCGGCTATCCACCGTGTTGGAAACCTCGCTGAATACCTCACAGCAAAAGTTCAACAACGAACGCTCGCCCGATCTCTTTGCCGACAGCGATGATGAAGAGGAGAAGGCTGACCCACCCACAAGACTTGAAGATCTGCCCGAGGCCTTGGATGAATCACAATGCACCAGCGATGTGCGTGCCCGCGCCACGGAATCCAGCTTTGTGGATGAGCAGACACTGGACATGTCGGCCACCCAGCTAAATGCCAACGATACGCGTTCACAGTTCTTGGAGAACTGTCGCCGAGAGCGAGAACTCTATCGAAGGATACGACGCTGTTTGCAGGGTGTTAGACCGCCGCCCACAGTGACCAATCCCGAAATGGATGTGATCAAAACTGTGCTTAGCATGAAGGAAAAGGTGCTTAACTTTATGTCGAAGGAGGATCCAGCCACGATTGAAGATGGTGTGACCACCTCCTCCTTGTTTCGGCCCACTCATAGTCTATTGGAGGCCCAAAACATGGGCTGGCGGGAGGTTTTAAGCGTGAGACAACATGGATTGAGGTAGATTTTACTTTTTGAAGTAATTTTTTTACTGTAAAAATATTAAATTTGGTTCTAATTGCAGCTACAACTTAAACAAAGCTGCCGAACAAAATGAATACCTCAGCATGTCTGTGGTGGATCGTTATGTGGGAGTGGAGACAGCCACCTCCTACGTGCGTTCCCCCTCGAGTGCCAAGAAGCGAAATATGCGAATGAAGTGAGTTATAGAAATTATTTTCGTTTCCTTAAACAATTTCTAACTATTTTGTTCTCCAGAATGCTCACCCAATCACCGGGCAATCGCCTTAGTCACCTGGCCAAGCGCCGTGCCATATTTTCATCGGCAAATCTGGCCACCAACTCACAGAAGCTAAACAGTTCAATTGGACCACAAATATTGCTAGAAAAGAAGTGGGTTAATCAAGTTACAACTCTTCCTTAAATGGGAAATAATTTCTTAAAATTAAATTCACAGAAAAGTGCGAAACAAGCGCAAGGCCACGCCCAAACGCAAGACTCCAGGCAGCAAAAAGAAAGGTAAGTCCAGAGATAAGATAAGCCTTTGTATAACAAATCTTAATTTATATAATTCTCTTTCCCAGCTCGCAAGACGCCCACTTCATCCGCCCGCAAACGTCTCTACCGCACCGATCTCATCAAACCGGGTCCGGGTCCCTCGAGGGAAACCTCCAAGCGCGCCCTATTCCAAAGCCCAGCCAAGTCCCTCCAGCAGCAGCTAATGCCACCCAAGCCTTTGTTTAAACCAGAGATTGCCAATCGCGTAGAGCGTTCCAAGAGGGCTCTTTTCTCGCCGGATCACCAAGGTGGTGGCAGCCAACTGGAGTCATTGCTGAAGCGAAAACGTAATGCCTGCGATGATGAGGACTCCGCTGATATGGCCAGTCAGAGCAGCAAGCTGTTCCGTGCCGAAAGTAGTGGACCCAGCGGCTTGACGCCCCGTGCCCTCAAGATCAAGAGTCAGAGCTTCTGCATTGGAGCTGGTTCCTCCACAACAGGTATGCAGCAGAAGGCGACACAGCAGCAGCTGACGGCAGCGGGAGTCAGTCAATCGCGACTCAGTCTGGGATTAAGCGGCAGCAGCAGCAATTTGGCCAGCAGTGGAACGCCGCTGGCGAATAAACTGCAACGAGCACAATCGGAGATGAGCGCCACGCCGAATAGTAGCATGACGGATAATCAGAGAAAGGTAAGTCCTTAAGGGAGGGGGTAGTTCCTTGCAAATTCAAGTATTTCAATAATTTTATTCTCTTAGAAACTCCTTTGGGCTGTATCCCAGGCCCTGCAAGAGCGTAAAATCACAGCCAAGCATGAGCACTTCCGTCAGCATGCAGCGGATCTCACGCGTATTGTGAAGCGCATCTTCCAGGAATTCTACCTAGGACACACAACCAGCAATAGCGAGACGCTGTTAAGGTAAATTTCACAGGGGTTGAGGAAAGTCATTTTCTTATTTATTGCAACTCTCTCTTCTTCTTTTCCTCCCTCCTACAGGCTAGCCAAGAAGTTTGCCTTCAGCGTCATTGCGGGCAAAAATGCGGACGATATTTACCTGCAGGCACGCAGTCAAGAGAGCGAGGCCAAGCGATTGTCCAGCACCCGGCTCTCTGGCTACATAGGACCCGAAGAGTTTGCCCAGCGCAAGTTGCTTTTGTCTCAAACTTCCTCCGGTGTGGGTACTTTAGCGGGTTCCACACGCTCGTTACACAACATCTTTGGCAGTGAAAACTCCATTGATTCGTTTGGTTTGAGCCAGCAGACAAGCGCCTGCACGGATACCCAATCGAGTTTAGTGAATCGCATAGCCGAGGATTTGTTTTGTAAGGAAAGGCAGCCTATACGACCGAATCCCACATTGCAAAATAGCTCTTCAAAGAGCAATCTGGGTGGTCTAGCCTTGCGAGAGAATGTGGACTGTGAGCTAAGAAGATCAGCGCAGAAGAATTTCACGGGCAAGGATCAAAGGAACATAAGTCCCTACTATGGAGGAGGTGGAAATGGAAGCAACGGCTCGGCCCGAAAGTTCCAAGTGACGCCAGCGAACAGCAACAATTCGGGAGGAAAGGCCAAGCGACAGATATCCTTTGACTGCTAAGATAAGAGAAAAGGTAAAGGGAAACCCCTCCCTTTACCTAACCTCATATTGAAACCGTTTACTTTTTGTTTTCTATTATTTTTTTTTATGGTTGCTTTAGCTTAATTTATTTAACTGCCTAGTACTCTCTCTAAACCCAAACCCAAAGGCAGACAACCGTTTAAAAATAGGTATTAAAAAAAATATATATATAAAATACATCTCTTGTAGATCTTATAGATCGCCTGCCTTAGCTACCGACTTGCTCAAAATTTTAGTTAAAATTCAACTAAGATCTATATGGGATTTATTTTATGATGCGCGACTCAAAAACCACAATGAATGCAATATTTTCCACTGAAGTCTAGACGTAGAATGTACCAAAATTTGTGCTTAAAAATTACAAATTAACAACTGAAATCAAGCTGAAATCGTAATTATTTCTAAGAGTGTAAAGTGAAATTTTAGCATAATAAAAGCTTTGTCAATAGTAGCCACTGCGATGTACATAACGTCGAACTAGCCAGAAGGAGACAATGTGAAAGATTATGGCCACCACTAAAAGGCTGAAGCAGTCCAGCCAGTAGGTGTAGTCGGCAGTGCGGTAAGAGCCCTGCTGCAGCACCTCCAGGCCGGTCTTGATGCAAGGATGATCCACATTGACAGGACAATCTGTGGAGGGATACATCTCTTAGTTATCCATGGTTTAAATTACTTCTTTCTTACCTATATTATCAATATCAATCCAAAAGTTGTACATCAAGGCCTCGTTGGAGTAAAAAAACAATGAAAGGTACTTCAGCCCGGGCACCGTGTCCACATTCATGTAGGTTCCTCCAAATATTAGAAAAATCAAATCAAAAGGCGCTGCACATTCCGAGGCCATTTTATCCGTTTCAAAAAGGCTGGAAAGGAAGACACCATAACCCACAGCTGCCACTGCAGACAAGCTCATCAGAAAGCCCATGCTCAAGTACAGGAAGAAGCCTCGGGTGTAGTATATAGAGGCATAAATCACGGAGAGAAATACATAGGCCTTGAAAAAGGCCACTGGAACAAAGGAGAGCACCAGGGCCACATAGTAGGCGGAGAGGCTATATGTGCCCTCGCCCACTTCACGCCGGATGATGGGCAGGGCAGCGGGAAAGATGTAGGTTACTCCATAGCTGTTCGAGAAGATATCTTGGCTAAAGTCTTATAAATCCGGGGAAATGATTACTACTCTCACCTGAAGGTAAAGATCATCTCATTGCTGAGCATGAATATAGAACCACCCACATCTTGAACTGTGCGTTGAGTTAGACCACCAATGCCGGAGTACATCAAGGATAGCGTTACTGCAGTAATCTGAGGATATAAAAGATAATAAAACTAAAAAATCAAAGGAGTACCTAAAACTCACCATAAAAAACCCAAAGGCAATGAGGGCGCTCTTTATATTCCTCAGATCTTCCGTCATGAAGCGCACCATCAAGAGATAAACCTGATATACCCAACGTATCTTCTTGCTAAAGGGATATAGGAGGTTATACTATATAAATCTTTGTATTAATTTCCTGGGACCCTCACAAGTTTTGGACATGCTTTAGATAATCTCCACTATAGCTACGTGCTAGAAGCCAGCTTCCTGTATAAAGACCATCCGTCTCGTGCTCGTACTTGGCTCGGAGGACAGCTCCAGCATTCTCCTTGCCATCCTTATCCGCCAGGGTCTTCAAATAAAAGTCAGCTGGATTGCAGTTTAAAGGAAGTTCATAGCCCAAACTAAAAAGGGAGGAGTATTAATAAAAAGGATACTCCCGCTAGCCTACTTACTCTGTAAAAAATTTGGCTGCCTGCTCGGTGCGTCCCTGGTAAACTATCCTGCCACCATCCATCAGGATAATATGTGTAAACAGCTCAAAAATATCCGACGTAGGCTGATGAATAGAACAGATGGCCGCCTTCTTGTGGGTCCCATTAGGACTATTGTTAAGGATACTAAGAGTGGGCAAATCCCGCATTCCCTGCAACAGACTCTCATGGGATTGACCCACCACTTCCATCTCTATGGACTTGCTGCCACTGCCACTGGCACTGCTCTCGCCACTGCTTGTCTCAAAGGAATCCTCGCCATAGACCTGGTTCAAGGAGTGCTTGGCTATCCTTCTCCTAGTGCACAAATGCCTCAACGTTTTAATCACTGAATAGGCACTAAAGCTGTCCAGACCCGTGGTGGGTTCATCGCAAAACAAGAAGATGGGATCAGTTATTAGCTCCTCGGCCAGGCTCAGTCGCTTTCTCTCTCCGCCGGACAACTGCTGGATGCGGGTGTGGGCCGAGTCCCTCAAACCCACAGCCAAAAGGAGATCTGCTACCCTCTGGCGTTTTTCCGACTTGGTAGTGCGACGATGCATCTTAAAGTGGGACTGGGTAGGCCAAGTATTACGTTATGTATTTAAGATCTCTTTTAGCAGGAACCCACCATAAAATACAGATGCTCGTAGGCCGTAAATGTCTTCACGTTGATCTCAAACTGCGGCAGAAAGCTGGAGATGCGCGTCATCTGATTCCGTTCCATGGCCATGCCGTTCAAAACCACATCCCCGGTCAGGTTACCGCGCAGCCGTTGCGAAATGGCCGCCAGCAACGTGGTCTTACCCGCTCCGGATCCGCCCAAGATGGCGATGAGGTCGCCGGTCTTCATATGCCCGCTGGCTGGAAAACCCAAGTCGAGTGGGGCAACCGCAAGTTAGTCCCATTCCCACAAAGCCCCGCCACATCCATATCCGGAGCATTGACTTACCGTCTTGGAGGATGCATAGCTCTCGCTTTTTGCGGCACTCATTCCAAAAACTGTAGTTGCTTTGCTCCTGGGCAGGCACGTAGTAGTTGAGCTGCTTCCACTCCAGGCACAGGGAGGGTCCTCCCTGACCCGAGCTACCAGATTCTGGCATGGCACTTGGCCGGTTCAATCACCTCTTTGAGCAACTTTTTGGTATTCAAGCTGTGTTTGATTTTCCTGTACTAATCCCTGGGACAACTTATCACCTCCAGAATGGAGGCAGCAGACAGCGGCAGGTGGCTTATCTTATCTGAGGCTACTCCGAATGCCGCCTACAATGTATTTGCATATCTGCCAGGGGATCTCGTTTGGAGAGAAGCCTTAAAAAAAAAATTAATTCTGTCCCGGACAGACGACGACTGTTCGCGTTGAAGACCGACCGGCAACTGGGCAACGTTGATGCCAGCGACATGGTTTTCTACCCCCAATGGAGCTCACCCACCCTCCCTCCAAGTAACATTAAACTTTTGACCGCATTTGGGTTTGCCGGCTAATTGTCGCGTATCAATTCACATAGTCAAACGGCGGCAGTTCAGCGGTGTCGGCCAAAGAGAGGCGCTCGTCTACGAGATGTCGCTGTTGCTGTGGCTCTTGTTGGTGGTGGTGATTCGCCTCCGCTTTGCGGTTACCTCTTCCACAGAAAAGACGCACATGGCCCACGACCATGCGTAGAATGGTGAAGGCGTCCAGCAGCATATTATAGATGATCACGTGACCCATCTCCACCAGACCCATTACACTGACGCCCACAAAGAGGGCCAGGACACCGCCAAAGGATACTGGTGGGAAAAGATAATTATTTAAAAATGGAATATATGGTTACCTAGAAAACAGTCTCACCCACTAAATCCTCAAAGCTGTAGACCACATCTCGTCGCATCCGTACTTTAGGAGGAATCAAATCCCAACGAAAACTAGAGGTAGCTGTCTCACTGCTGCTCACCTCCTCGTTGTTTTTGACGCCCCAGGAACTCTTTTTTACGGTTTGCATGGTGTATTCGATCTCCGTGCAGGTGGAGGGACACTTACAGATGTGCAAAGCCCAGATAGGCCACTTGAAGTCCAGAAGACACTCAAAGCCAGCAGGATTGCAGCTGGGTCCCTCTACATAAGGATAAAAGAAGGGCACACAGTTGCACATTTCCAGAGCCATGACAGCACGACAGCGAGCCAGGCACAAGGATTTGCTGTAGATCTTAGAATACAAGAAAGATATATCATTTGAAATTATATATATTATATATAATAATAAACCCACTAAATCAGAGATAAAGGTAAAAGAAATCCCAAAGAGAAAGATACATTTCTCTTTCAGGCCAGATGCATCTAAATTTCTGTCTGGAAACTGAGTTCCCTGCACTGATATGACTTATCAGGTGTGGATTTTTTGTTGTTGTTTTACTTGAATCATTTGTTTATTTGACGAACCGAAACGCAGGGCATCGCCTCCAACACCAGAGTGCATCTCGGCCAGATAAGTAGAGAGTACAGACAGATAGATAGATAGATACCTTTAGGTTGGAAGTCTCCTCGTTGTTAAACACACACTTGCGCTGGGCCACACTGAGTTCGCGTAGGTTTTTCGATGCTCTACAAATTATAGAACATATAAACAAACCTCTTCTTGTCTGGAGAAGATGCCCCGCTCCACTTACACCGTTTCCAACACCTTGAACGAGGCGGTTATCTCGTCTGACTTGTGCAGCGCCACAATGTTTGCCTCTGTGGCGGATACCTCAAATGGCGAGTGGACGTCCAGCTGCAAGGTTGATACATTTCTATTAGTTTCAGATTCTAAAGAATGCTTTTTATTGTGTATATCTACCACGCCCGTGCTTTCGTACAAATCCATGCGTATATAGCACTGCTGCTTGCCATACTGGCAGGACAAGGGCTGGGGCATCAGCTCATAGGCCACGGGTCTAGCAAGGATTAAGGATGAAATATTTAACCTTAACCGAGTAACCGAAGCTCTACTCACTGCCCGCTCAGCACCGTGGACATGGGGGAGTTGATGGCATAGCAGGAACCCCGCTCCGTCATCACCATTTGCACATGAACCTCAAAACTGGAGTCAAAACTGCTGATGACCTGCTCAAACGGTCTGTCCACTCTTTGAATCATCTCGTACAAATCAATCTGATCGAATCTCTCATCCTCTGCAAACTTGGCCAACTCCGCATAGTTGCCAGCAGTGGCATTGACCACCGCATAAAGGAAATCCATAAAGTAAAAGTAATCCTCGTCAATGATGGACACATTCCACACTTCCTGTATGTACTCGTTGGCCTTAAAGGAGTCAATGTGATCGTAGTAGCAGAGTGTGACCGCCGGCAGGGATCCATTCCATCCACGATAGTCCCGATCCACCGAGATCACCGTGGGTGAGCTGAAATATCTATCCAGCTGAAAGCGACTCAGCAACAGGGCAGCAATCACACTGCTTATCACTATAGCCAGCCAGAAAAGTCTCTCCAGGAGGTGAATCCTTCGATTGACGCACAAACTAATGGCCAGGAGTCCTGTCTCAGCGCCAGCCTCGGCCACCACATCTCTTAGACGACCAGCATAGCTCCTGCAACCAGCTAGAAAGAGGCGAAGAAAGGCCAACAGTCCGCGGAGGAGTCTAACTGAAATGCCTTTCAGCCAGAGCCACAGTCGTCGTCTGTCCATTTTGAGCGAATGAAAGGAAAAACCTGCAGGGCAATGCTTTTATTCTGAGGTAAAATTAGCCATTAGAGTTGCATTTATCAGGTTACTTTCACAAAAGGCCATCAGGACGAAGATAATTTATCAGGAAACAAAGAAAAGGATTATTTTTTTCATTTATATAAATGGGTAAAAACCTTAGTAACAAAACATAAATACGGCTAGACCTTTATTTATGTAATTTAAATAGTAACAAATATTTCTTAAAAACTAAGAAGACTTCTAATTTTTATTTATTTTATTATCTAGTACATAATGTAGTACATATTCTCAAATATAAAGCCAGTTTGATTTGTTGAGAGCTACACCCATTAGCGATTTATTACCCAGTCCGATTTGTATGAGGAAAATAACAATGGCCATCAATACACCAAAAAACTGTCAACAAACAAAGGAAGATACTTTAATTGTTCCCCCAAATGGTGGCTTAAAGGGTTAATTCTCCTCCTACTCACTTACCCCACCCAAGGCCAGCGTGTCCAGTGGAACGATTCCACATGCCTCCAAAGGTTGAGCCAGACTAGTCTGGAGCTGCAGGAGAAATCGATTAATGGTTCTCTCCAAGTGGGAACTACAGACCTCCAGTTCATTGATTAACCTAAACAGCTGGCATTTCTAAAAGAGAAAATAACCCCTCAAAATGATATTTAACAGTTTAAAATAAGTCTTTCTTACCTTCTCCAAAATCTGTTCATTGACTGCCATAATAAACCAAATCCTTCCTCCATGCATGAGTAACCAAAGCAGGCGATAGATGAGCAACACACTCTCCTCCAGTTGAGGATTTTCAAAGAAATTAAAGACCAGATAGAGCTCCACACAGAAACTAGCCAGGGAGTTGGCAAAATTCAAGATCAGGAAGGTTCCAAATCGAGACAAGAGTTTCTTGTGCAGCAAATCCAAGTGGTGGCAAGTGGAACGCATCTCCTCCAGCCGTACAGAGTAACCTCCTCCAGCGTCCACTAGAACGGCAAAGGCAGACTCATATCTAGCATCTAGTTTGGTGATTCCCCCAGGCGGTCTCTGCTGCCACTTTAGCTCCTCCAATGCTCTCCTGATCTCATCCAAAAGAAGCCATAGAAAGTGTAAGGGGAGAGCATACTGCAGCAAGCCCAGACTCATCATCAAGCCAGGCAGGTTATATATGCTATTACTGATCCAGGTGGTCCAAAACTCAAATTTACAGGTAATAATATCAACAACAGCACAGAGTCCATGGAAAATGATGGAGATTACCATTAACTGGAGAGTCCTTTGATCGTGTTTTTTGTATATCATTTGAACTGCCTTGGAGTCCAGTCTTTTGATCATACGGTGAATCTCCAACTCCACTTCCTGGAGACTGGGAAGATGAAGTACAGCATGAAAAGCCAGAAAACCTATGACGGACATGTTTCCTGGGAATTCCAGCAAGTAAAGTATCTTCTCAATGGTGGGGATCTCTCCCTTGAACTCCACACATCTCCTGATGCTGTTGGTCCAAATGTATAAGAGTAAGCCCAAGCACCACAAGGAATGGAGCCAACGAAGGATTCCCTTTTTGTCGATGGGGGATATACCCAGAACTCTGTTGAGGTTCAGCAGGAAATCCGAAGCGTTCATCTTGAAGGGGTTTTAATTAATGAAGGGTAAACTGATTTACTGTCTTTAAGTTTAATTGATTTGATTGATTGATTAATTGTGAGTTCTAGACCACTCGACAGGCATAAAGCAAAGGTGTATCAAACAAGGATAAGCTCAGTTCTAATCATGTGGAGTGCAAAGAAACTACCAGTAAGACTCCTGAAGTCTAAAGCTTGGTTAAGGGAAGGGTAAAATAAAATTTCTTTAGAAAGAAATATCAAATAAAGCACCTTCCTATTCATAGGCCTCCTTCATACCATCAACAGTATGTCCAAAGATACCAACAGCTTCATAAGAACCTACACTGGCTTATAATCATCTCAGTCTTGGCCAATACTGCACCTATATCCCTGCTCCCTGGTTGTGACAATAGATTCTATCGACTTCTTCACCTCTGCTGGATGATCCTTTGGTACACCTGCTTCGCCTTGGCCTCCTACTGGGAGTTTATGCATGTCACCATCCAAAGGGCTTCCCTGGATCGCTACCTGAATGCTATTGAATCTGGAGTATATATAATCCATATTTTCGTCATTATGCTTTTCACTTGGAAATGGAGAAACTGGATACCTAAAGTATTCAAAGAGTTTATCAAATCGGATCTGGAGAGAGATTACACCATTGATCGCAAGAGAAGTCGTCGGTTTGTGGGGATGCAACTATTCCTAGTTGGAATTTTCACCTGTCTGGCCTTTACCTTTGCCTTTTGCAGCCAGAAATTCGTGGTCTCCAAATCCATCTTGAGTATCATCTGCTATGTGATGCCGAATATCATCAGTAGCTTATCCTTTATACAGTACTACCTTCTACTCCAAGGCATAGCTTGGCGCCAGAGGAAGGTCACTGAGAATTTGGAAAGGGAATTATTTATTTTGATAAATCCTCGCAGATCGGAAATCCAAAAATTCCGCCTTCAACACGCCGAGTTGACAAACTTCACCTGGCTGGTGAACCGCACTTTCTCATGGTCTATAGTACTCCTCTTCGTGGGCTGTTTCCTTAACTTTAATTTGGTTTTATTTTTGGTTTACCAGAGGGTAGAGAATCCGGATATGGGTGACTGGGCCAAGTGGTTCTACATGCTCCTGTGGCTGGCCATGCATTTGGGAAAAGTAGGCAGTATCCTTTATTTTAACCAGAAGGTTCAGGAAGAGGTGGGAATTGTACTTATTATTTTTAGAACATTTTTATTAATGATTTATCTTTTAGCAATCTAGATGTTTGGCTTTAGTAAATGCTGCATTCTTCATAGAATCTGATCTTCAGGAGACCATCAACCACTTTGTTTTTCAATTGCAGACGGATGTAAGGCAGCATGTGGTGGGAGGCGTCATTGTCCTGGATTTAAAGTTCCTGACAGCCGTAAGTTGACTAAAATGTATTTAAAATTATTTAAATATTTAAAATATGTTTACATATTTAGTTGTTAGTGGCCTCTGCAGACTTTTTTATCTTTTTGCTTCAATATGATGTCACTTACGAGGCTTTATCCAAAACGGTTCAAGGAAATGTGACAAAAACTTAATGGACATTCATTTTAAATATTTTACGAAACAGTTTACTGATTTCTTTTATAGAATTTTTTAAAATTGCAATAATTTCAGAAATAAAATTTATAAAATGAATGAAAGTTTTTAAAAATTGTAAGGCCAGAAATATAAATAATAAATTAATTTTATAAATTTAAAGCTTTTAAAAAATGGCGCCCCAATAGCAATCGATTACAGACCTATCGACATCTGACTCCTCAAGAGCTTTTTAAGCTTTTTAGAAAGAGTTGGCAGCCCTTATTGGAATACCTTTTGTTGTATTTTTTCTGCACGCCAAATAACTTTAATTAATAACCATGTGCGACGTTGCAACTGTGCAGAAGATTGCCCATTGCCTGGGCGTGAATCCCGGCAAGGTGCAGCTCAACGAGGAGCAGGTAAGTACCCTGGACTTGACCCCCAAAAACGGATGATTCTCATGGCCGGACTTCAATTTATTTTTTGTTGTGAAGGTCGTAACCCGCATCAGTGGCCAAAAGAAGAGCAGCGTGGCGGGATTCGCCACCATTCTCGAGAGCCTGGCCCAGGAATCCAAGTCGGAAACGGCCCAGAACAGCAAGGCATCGAGGGAGGTAGAGGCACAGGTGTACCAGTGGATAGAGTTCTCCGTGCTCTATGTAGCACCCGGCTCCAAGGACAAGCATGTTTCCAAGCAACTTTTGGCGGACTTTAACAAGCTCTTTGCCAGCAAATCCTATTTGGTGGGTCATTTCATCACTCTAGCGGATCTGGCGGTGTATTATGCTATATACGATCTTGTGGTAAGTTGGAAAAATCTATGATTTAAGTTTTAAGGAAAGGATTTTCAACTTTCTCCCCGATTCTTTTAGAAATCCCTCTCTCCTGTGGACAAGGAAGCCTACCTGAACCTCTCCCGCTGGTTTGATCATCTCCAAAACCGACCGGACATCCATCAGGGCGAACCGCTGCTCAACTTCACCACCATCTACCTCCATGGCTGGGCCACAGGCACTCACATCTAAGACAAGCCATGCCATCATCCAAAAAACGTCACAAAGACTCTTAAGTTATTTATTTCTATTGCATTTCTCACAATGTAGTTTTTGTGTGTGTGATTATCATTTAATGCCAATGAGAGTTCAGCGTTGGAATATGAAAAATCGTTACGAGTTGTTCTCTTCTTGATAATCGGATCTCAGCCGTAGTAGCTCCGAATCACGTGCAGCGGCATGGGGCGTATAGCAGCGACTCCTGCTCCGCCAACATCAGTTCGCTTGGACTTCACGCGGCGAGCTAATAGAGTTGCCCATGTCCGTGGGCTCCGTGCACTTCCACAGGCCATAGGTCTTGCCTACGGTCGTCTGCCACAGCCGGAGAGTGCCATCCTCGGAGCCACTGGCATATAGCTCGCCATCGGGACTGAATTTCACGCTGTGCACGGGTCCAAAGTGGCCCTTGAAGGATTCTGTTTAAGACAAATAGCATTAGGTTTTACATCCTATATAAGCTTTACATCCTTACCAATTTCGTTTCCTGTTATATAATCGAACTTGTACATCTTAAAGTCCTCGCCGCCGCACACAAAGACATGCTTGTCCGGATGCAAACTAGCCGACGAGACGTTCGTCGGCACTTTCACCTCCTTAAGCTTCTTTAGCGTGTCAATCTCCCAGAAGCTAATGGACGAGCCATGCGCTATGGTCAGTATATGATTGTCCCGCGAGATTTCCAGGCTGTTCGGGTTGCTGGGGAACTGCAGACGCTGCACTTCAATGCCCGTCATGCGATCCCACAGACGCACCGTCTTATCCTCGGCCGCCGAGATGATGCACTTGTCGCCGCGACAAAAGAGCGCTCGCTTAATGGCGCCCGTGTGCCCCGCATACTCCTCCGGCTGTGCCTCCGGTTGCTCCAGATTGAAGACCCTCACCAGCTTCTCGTTGCTGCCCGTCACTATGTTCTCGGAGTCCGCATCGAAGGCCACGCTCTTGACAATGTGCTTGTGCTGGAAACTGTGGATCTCGGCTCCGCTCACCGCATTCCACACCTTGCCGGTGAAATCCGCCGCTCCAGAGGCGGCCAAAGTGGCGTTCCGGTTAAGGGTGGCATTCCACACGGCACCCTTGTGTCCTTCGAAGGTGCCCACCCAATCGCCGGTATCGCCATGCCTCAGCATCGGGCTGCCATCTGCAAAAAAAGAGAGAACAGAAGTCTCAGTTAGTTCGTGGGGAAAATATGCATTCACTTGGCGCACCGGCGGAGAGCGTGCGTGCATAAATTAACGAACGGAAGCCACCTTGACTCAATGCCTGCCGCCAAGGCCAACGACCTGGCCAACGACGCCGCTCGCAATCATGCAGGCAAGCGAGCGAGCTTCCCAAGTTCACGTCACTTCCACTGCATCCGATCGGGTGTAGCAGGGTAACAGGAGGGGTAACTGCAATTTGCAGTCGTCGCCGCCGTCTGGCAGGGACGCAACTTGTTAGTTCGATCAGATCGACATGAATTGGAAATGTAAGTGGTTATCAGTTTGTGATTAAATATATACAAATATATTTTTAATGAGATAAACTGGGCATATGGACTGGGGTAGGGAGTTTGGTTAATGGTGGTTTTTACTCTTATTTCTTAGAGTTTATGGAAGAACTTTAGATCAAAAACTATCAGAAAAGTATATTCCGGTTCTTGGTTCCAAAAAGCTGTCAACCTGTGTAATCAAATTAGTCTATTCTCAAAAAAATAGGGATAAATGAAGAAGGAAGAGAAACCTCTTTAAATAAAAGTTCAACCCTTACAAGATCATTTGGCAAAAGCGTATCCCCTGACCAGACAGACTCCTCCCCAGAGGTGACTTTCCTCTCCCGACAGCTGCCAGCTGCTGCTGCCTGCATATTTACAGCATATAAATATAGAAGTTTCAAGGTGCTTCCTGAAACCGAGAGGCGAGCACAAACAACAAATAACGTGCAAAGTTTCGAAAAAGTTGCTCAACAAGGGGAAGCCAGTAACGTTAAAAGGCGATAACGAATTTAACTTGAACTTGCAATGGCAACTCGAACGCTCTTTCCGCATAAATGCAACATTTAGCGAAAGCAACAAATGCAAAGCACAAAGCACCAGCACCAGGTATCGAGTATATAAAATGGCAATAGCAAATCGCATCGACTAGCTGACACCTCAAGGCAAAGAACGCGAAGCGAAATTTGTAGCATGCGAGTGGCGGCGGGAAAAGGGTTCGCAGCAAACAGGTTTCGCTCGCAATAAATGACTTTGCATTTGGGTCAAGGTAATACGCGCAGGCTAGACGGAGCTAAATCGTGTTTGTTGTTCGCCATATAGTACATATGTTTATGTTTTTGCCGATCGCTTATGCGCTGATGCAGCATCTTTTTAAAAAAAAGGCTATCAAAAACAACCAATTATAAGACAGAATGTCAGAATCAATACTCATTTCTACAAATGTTTAAGATTATTCATTAAGAAAGCATGTTTTCTGGATATTTTTTTAAGTTTATGAAATTATATGAGTTTCAAAAATCTTAAATTCAATTTTATATCCGATTAAATAGGATATTATTTGAAAAATATAGTTAAAATAGTTGTGATAATTGAAAAATATGCGTTATAAAGCTTTAAAGAAATGTATTTTTGAGATATATTCTATTACCAACGATTTAGATATTTTTTAAACATATTTTTCCAATTTTGGGATTGAAATTTTACAAATTTAAAAGACTTGAAATCTTTTTAGAAGGAAATGGTTGCTAGGTCCGATATAAGTAAGTCATTTTTTTTAGGGTTCCAAAAACAGACACTAATCTTTGGGAAGTAAACTTTAGGCAATCCTTTGAAAACTATCTTTCTAAAATTTAAAGTTAAGTACTTTGGGTTGAGACAAAAGACCTATAAACCCCTAAAATCTTAAAAATTTTAGATACCGGGAATAATACATTTTTGACTCGATTTTAAAGCACCACAACCACTGTGCGACGGCGGACAATGACTATTTATAGCTCGGCAAGGACGCCAAATTGCATGGGATTTTTTGCGCGACTTTTACCTTTACACGCCGAGATGAGAAAGTAACCGCTGTCGACGATGTCGCTGAAGTCCAGATGGACCACGGGTCGCGTGTGTCCGCTGCAGGTGAGCGGAATCTGTCGCAAATTGTTGGCAGCCATTGTAGCGAGTCTCTGTTGCTGATTATATTGCTGATCCTGTAGAATCCTTATTTGTGTATTCCTCTTCCGCCGTATAATACTTGGTCGTATTGTCTAGTGAGAATGCTGCAAACTTTGCACTTAATGGATAGGAGCGGTTTTTTCCGGGGGTTTGATGATTTTGCTTTGTACTTCGATTGCTGCTGCCGCTGGTTTCGTCTAATTAGCAACGCTTCACTGTCCTCTACGATTCTCCCGTTCCTTGCTGATAGTCGCGATGGTGCTTCTCCCACGCCAGAGTGTATTTACAATTTGATTTACTTTTTTTTATTTATCAACAAGAGGGAAAATAACACGTTGTTGTTGTCGATGGACGATTGGTAGCCGACTCCAGTCTCGATACTTCGCAGTGCCCTATCGATGGTGGTGGTCGCGTGAGGCGATTGTTGCTAAAGGTGGGAAAGGCGTCCGCGAACCGTGACATCGTTTAGAAATATATTTCACAGTCTTAAGGAATAATTAAATAAAAAATTAAATACATAAAAAATAAGTATATTAATATTCATCTTTTATTTTATTTATACTTTTTATTTACATACATATGATTTTAGGTACGGTGCAAATGTCACCTTACAGTGGGGTAACTGAGTCAATGACACAGACTCCTCTAGTGTGCTTGATCGTCAATTTTAAATTAATTTTAAATATTAAACAAAAATTTTTATTTGTACCGTCTTTGTTTTTATATGTTAATATATATATTTTTTTATAAATGAATATTTTGTAAAAAAAAGTACACTTTATTTATTTGGTCGCCAGTTTTTGGCTCTCTTACCCCACTGTGCACTTTATCGATATCAATCATTGGACCAATAACAAACTATCGCTGGCTGGGCCACCCCTATTGAACTGTCAAAATACCTAATTTTCATTCGGGGCTTGGAATCGACTGAAAATATGTCTGCTATCCTAAATCACGCAATTCGTCGCCAATTTGGCGCTACTGCCGCCAGGAATATGTCTGGCACCGCCGCCACTGCCGGCGAGCACTCCGGTAAGTGTCCTTTCTGGAGCCCGATCTCCCCATTGCCCGGATTTTGTAAGGTTAAGGTTATGTAATTTGGGCTGTTGGGCAAGAATCCTCTGGCAACACTTCTCTTACTTTGTTGTTATTTTTATGTCCTTGCAGGTGGCTACAAGGTGTGGAAGCGCCTGTCCTTCTTCGTGGCCGTTCCCGCCGTCGGTCTGTGCATGCTGAATGCCTACCTGAAGCACCAGGAGGAGCACGGCCATCCCCGCCAGGAGTTCGTCAAGTACGATTATCTGCGTCGCCGTGAGAAGCGTTTCCCCTGGGGCGAGGGCAACAAGAGCCTGTTCCACAACCCCCATGTCAACCCCCTGCCCGATGGCTATGAGCACTAGATGGATGGATGGCCACTGATTCCGTTGAGGGGGGTAAAGCAGCAGTTGTTTGGTAATGGCAGACCCACCCGGGACTCCTGTATGTAATCGTTATTGTAAACAAAACTTTAGGCGGAAATACACAGAAACATAACCACAGTAAAGAAACACCACGACTCCTCCAGTTGGCGCTTGAATAAAGATCGAAATCAGGTGTAAGTGAAGTAACCAAAGCTGCATTGATGTGGGAACCAGGTGAACCCCAAGAAAATCCATAGTTTTGGAATACATAAACTTTTGTAATATGTAAGATACAAAGTGCTTGCAATAATCTCATCTTAACCTATTTAGGCGACTTTTTGTTCGTAATCTTGCCCGAAATGGTCAGAAAGCGTCCTGACCTGGCGGGCGGTGACTTGGTTTCCTTCTTGATATTCATTGTCTTTGGTGATATCTTCGAAATAGTTCCCGACTTATCCTGACTGCGAGTCTGCCGCTTTCCTTCTGTAGATTCCTTTACTAATTTCTTTTGCTTTGGCGGCGGCTCAAAGGAACCATCGCTATCGTCCAGATGGTCATCTTCCAGAGAATCGTCTTCCAAGTATTCCGTTATAAACTCCTCCTCTGCCTTTATGCCCACCGCATCGTACACTTCCTCGAGGGCTTCCTCTCCTTCAGCTTTTTCCCCAACTCCCTCGACGCTTTCGGCTCCCTCAACTCCGATGCTTTCAGCTGCCTCAACTCCCTCGACACTTTCGGCTCCCTCAACTTCGTCGTTCTGATAGGGCATCATGTCCACCACATGGTCATCCTCAATGTGATTTCGCAGACGTGCCTCGCTTAAGAAGATGTGATCGCAGAACTCGCAGGCGAAACGCTCGGTCTTGTGCTGCGCCATGTGGGCCTCGACATCGTCGGCATATTCGATATTCTCGCGGCACAGTGGACACTTCAGGGTATCCTGGGCATGGGTCAGCGAGTGCTCCAGCAGCTGGTCATAGGTGGTAAAAGTATCTTTGCATTCGCTGCACACAAACGAAGCCTCCGAGGTGCTCTGCTTGTGCATACGCAGATGCCGCGACAGATGATGCGAGAGAATGTAGGACTTGGAACAGTATTTGCAGGGATAAGCCCGTTTGCCGGCATGCGCGACCAGGTGACGAGCCAACTTGCTGGATGTTGGGAAAGAGCGGTTGCAGTGCTGACAGGGGAAAGGCAAATTGGTCTTGTGGATGACCTGAGAGAAAAGGGGTTTTAGTTTCCTTTTTTGTCACGAATTTCCATTCCCCACTTACCTCATGACGCTCCAGTCCCTGCTTAAACGCAAACGACTTGCTGCAGACACCGCAATGGAAGGGCCGCTTCTTGGTGTGACGCTCCGCGTGAGTCTCCATCTCCTGGCGCGAGATGAACGGCTTCTCGCAAAAAACGCATATAAATTTGGGTATGTCCGTGTGCGTCCGTTCGTGTCGATGGAGCAGGGCCTTTCGGGTGAAGGCCCTGGAGCAAATGGTGCACTGGAACGGCCGCTCGCCGGTGTGAACAAAGGTATGCTTCTGCAGATCGTACTTGCTGAAGAAGCTCCGCTCGCAATCCGGGCACTGGAAACTGCGCTCGCGTTTATGGTTTACCATATGAATGTCCAGCAACTGCTGCAGCGGAAAGGATCGGTCGCAGTCGGGACAAGGAAACACATTGGTTGCCACCTTTTCGGCGTTCTTGATTAAATCATTTGGAGAAATAATCTTGCCGGGATCCAGAATCTCCGTCACAATGGCTACGTTGCCGCTCTCATCCCGATGAACCTGAGGTGTGGCAATGCGGGGCTCCAGGGGAGCGGCAGGTCCCTTGTTCAGTATACGAATCGATGACTTGTTCAGCAGCTTGGGCTTGCTGGGTGAATTTTTCGCCGGCGGCTGGACTATTTCATCTTGCAGCTCATTAGCCATGTCCTCCATCATGCTGTGCACATCGTCTATCGTCAGGTCCTGGTTGTTCTCCACCTTCAGCTCATAGGCCTGGGCCTTGCGTCCGATTGGAGCTCCTCCGGCGGTGGCATTCTTGTTCAGCAAACTTGTCTCCAGCACCTGGACATTCTCGATGATGGCCTTGTTCGATTTGGCCATGGTGTTGAGCAGCTTCTTGGGCTTGCTTTCCGGTGAAGTGACTGTCACCGCGGTGACATTCTTGGGGGGCACCGCCTGATTGGCTATCATGGGAGCCCGGGGTTTCTCCAGAGGAGCGGGCCAAGTTCCAGTCAAGGGGTATTGACGGATGAGGGTCTCAGCCCGCTTGCACATTTGCTTGAAGCGGTAGCAGTGCTCGAAGAGGAGACGGCAGTCCAGGCAGATATATCCTGGCATTCCGTCGCCATCGAAAACCTTAAAATGAGGAGAACAAATTTAACATTAATAACTTTATAGGGAAAATATTTTGATATTTTAAAGAAAACTTTAAAAGTTGCTTTGACAAAATTAAATTTTCAAATACTTTACGTCAAAGGATACGTATTTGATCACCTAACGTAGTTTAATTACGTTATTGTTCTAAGCCAGTGGGACCAGCTGCCGCAGGGAAAATACCCACCGTCTGAATTTGGCATTATAAAAGGTAAATGCGGCAGGCACATTGGACTGCTTGGCGGCAAGTGCATACACACACCACCACAGATGCAGTTTGTTTTCGTGAGCACGCTTAACCTTCGTTAATTTGATTGATTAAACACGGCGGCGCCATAAAAGGACATTTGGAGTTTTGTTAATCCGACAAAAGCTGCAAAAAAAACAGCTGTGCTGTGCCAGTTTAGCAAACTTTTTCGTGAAAGAACAAGAAACTTCCAACTACAAACGTATGCAAAAAGGGCGCAACAACTGAAGGAGAAGGAGAATTACAAGAAGGCAGAAAAGAAGGCAGAGCCGAACAAAAGGCAAAGCGGCGGACGAACAAGGAGAAATACAAAACAACCAAAACAAGAGGAGAGAGAGGGCAACACAAGAGAAGAGGAGACAGACCCTCGGAGGCGGCAAAATGACGGACGAGTGTATAACCAGAAACTACAATGTTCTCAGCTCGAACGGAGCGGGAAATCGGAGCAGCATTATAGCTGATAGTATCGATGCCAAGGGCTGTACGGCGGAGCCGCTGGCTGTTGCTGCTGGTGGTGCAACTGCAGCGAGGTAAGTGTCCATGCTCTCTCTCCGGCTCTTTTTCTCTCTCTTTTTGTGCGTCTGTATGTGTGCTTGTCTGCTCTTGTTATCAGTATTGTTGTTCTTGTTTTTGTTACGATGCTGGAAAAGGAGTTTTGATTGGAAAAATCCTGTTTTTAAGACGCATTTAAAAAATTTAATTTCGGGAAAGCCCGTTTCTTTTGCTAAAATTTCTTATCAAGCTATGAATTTAGCCTTCCAAAAATACTAATCTTATCAGAACTAAATTAATCTTGTTTTTCGATCATTGATCATGAAATGTAATCTAATCTTTGATAAATAGCAAAGATTTTCAAATTTGGAACTTGGCGAAACATTATTATTTAAAACTGAAAACTCAATGTAGTTTCGGCAAGATATGTATTATTGTATTCACTGCCTTGAAAGCATTTACGACCCATTTTCTTATCATAGAAGTTCTCTATAATAACCAGTTATTTGAAATATCAAAGAAGGTCGTATATCCGGATGTTTTTATACTAAAATTTATCATATTTACAATACATTTTTAATAGAATCAAATGATTTCTTCGATTAAAGAGTACCAATAAATGAAATACCTCTTAAAATCAAAGAAGTTACAGAAGTTACTAGCAAAATTTCCTCCTGATTGCTCATAAGCCCTCCCATAAGCTCTTAAAGCCTGCCTTAGTCATTGAAAGTGCTGCTAACAATCAATAATAGGATTTATTTAATTGTTGCAATTGAAAAAGAGCCCTGTAAGCGTTTTGTTATCGTGAAAACTATTCTTTTGTTTGATTTTGCTTATGCAAAGCCTACACAAACGACCATTAATCATAGCTAATTTTGGCCAATGGCCTTATCTTATCTAATCACTCCGACCAAATGGCTAGCAAATCGAATCTTATATCACTTTCTATTGACCCTATTCTTTTGGTCTTCCCTGCGCAGCGCCGCCGCCGCCCTGCCGGCCAACAAGTTTGTGGCCCGAATGCCCGTGGAGCGATATGCCAGCGAGTACAACATGAATCACAAGAATCGCGGCCTGGCCCTCATCTTTAACCACGAGTTCTTTGAAATACCCTCGCTGAAGCCTCGCGCCGGCACAAATGTGGATGCCCAGGAGCTGAAGAAGACCTTTAAGAGTCTGGGCTTTGATGCGACCGTGCATAAGGACTGCAAGTTGCGGGACATCCTCAAGCACATCGAGGAGGCCGCTGTGCAGGATCACACGGACAACGATTGTCTGGCGGTGGCCATACTGTCGCACGGTGAACACGGCTATCTGTATGCCAAGGATGTGCAGTACAAGTTGGATAATATCTGGCACTACTTCACCGCTGCCATCTGTCCCACATTGGCAGGCAAGCCGAAGCTGTTCTTTATCCAAGCCTGTCAGGGGGATCGCTTGGACGGTGGAATGACGCTGGAGAAGTGCGTGACTGAAACGGATGGCGAGTCCTCCATGAGCTACAAAATACCCATACATGCCGACTTTCTCTTCTCTTACTCCACAATTCCGGGTAAGGATACAAACCAGGGTATTTGTAGAGGAATTTTCCTAACAATTTGTATTTAATTTCCAGGCTACTACTCCTGGCGCAACATCAACAACGGCTCCTGGTACATGCAGTCGCTCATCCAAGAGCTAAACACCAATGGCAAAAAGTACGACTTGCTCACCCTGCTCACATTCGTCAACCAGCGTGTGGCCATAGACTTTGAGTCGAACGTGCCCGCCACCCCAATGATGGATCGCCAGAAGCAAATACCATGCCTCACCTCAATGCTGACGCGCATACTGCGCTTCAACGACAAGCCCAACGGCAATAAGGCTGGTTAAACGGACGATCTCTCGGTTCTACCTCAGGTTGAGCGCTCACTCAATGCCCCCGCAATCATCATTTGGATTCCAATTCACTTCAAGTTTAGTTTTTAGACGCTTGCAATTATCCCGAAGGATATGCCGAGCTTCAGGACATGATTTTTCTTCCATTTCTCATTTCCCCCCAAAACCCCAATTCAGGCCTTATCGTTGACGAAATTCGCTTATCCAATTAAATGTACGACTTGCCCTAATTATAAGAAACACTTGCTGATTAGCAAACCCACAAATTTTAGAAATAAGAGATATAATGAAGATTTATACATACAAAACAATCATATATTATATATATTTGATATGAAAATGAATAAAAATGAAATATGAATAAGTTTTGAGAGATTTTTAATTGATTGTAAAGTAAATATTGTAGTAGTTCAGAAATTTCATGTTCCTAAATTTATTGAATTATTTTGATAACAATATTTATTTACTTTTTTTCCCGCCAAAAAAGTAGAAAAAAACTACAGCTGACTGCCTGCCAGCCCCAAACAGCTGACTGGACAGATGTGCACGTGTGTGTGCGTGTCCGTGGTACAGTTGTCACGGCGACTAATTGAAATAGGTTTTTCACACATTTTCACTGGGGGGAACTCTGCCGGAAAACTGACTAATCGGCAAGGACACGAATGGGGATCTTTAAGCGGGGTTTCCCCCTTGGAAACAGGAAAACATGGGCGAGATAAACTTAGCCGAGACGCCAACGCACAGTGGGTTCAAAAACCTAAGAGGAGGCCGCTACCTGGGCTCTATGATTTAGCCAAGTTCTGTGCGGGCAGCGGGTGGTTTTTGTTTTTTTAGTGCAAGTTAGAACCCATTACTTATTCTTACCTCGATCGCCGTTATGGCCATTATCTGCAGGGCCAGGTTGGCGCTGGTTTTGATGCGTGTGTTCTCCACGAAAATGGAGGCCAGCTTCTGATCCGACAGGCAGAATCGGCAGACCTTCTTTAGGCCCAGCGAGGCCTCGCGAAGCGCAGCACTTTGCGCCATCGTATCAATTGCAATAAGTCTGGTGTATAACTAATAATTGTAATTACTGCACACGCGGGGCGTATAGAAAATAAGTAAGAGCACAGAAAATAATCTGATTCGGCGTCTTTTCTTTTCACAAACCTAGCCAGCCTTGCCGGACAGTCGGGGCCAGCGCCGGGAGTTGCCAGACTGGAGAGTGAAATTTATCGATAGTTCTTGGTTTAATTTGCTTAAAAATAAATTTATTAATGCTTTTTAATTTGAAACACTATTCGTCGGAATCCCTTAACCGCGCCTGCGTCTGCTCGCCTATGTCGTAGATGACGTTCTGCTGGAGCAGCTCGTGGGCCTCGTACTTGAGGGACTCTTCGTAGGCATACTGGATGCTGGTGTCGTAGATCATTAGTTTGCACTTGGCCAGGGCCAGGATAGAGTTCCTCAGCCGGGCAATCACTTCCCGTTCGCTGCGAGGCACGTGTTCGTTTAGGTTTTGCGCGAAACCACCTTCGCCGCCCTCCTGTTCCTGAGCCTTGGTGGGCGCTATCCAGATGTAGCCATTGTTGCCAAGGATCACGGAGGCGCCGCAGGGCAGGTTGTGAAAGTGCATCTTGCGGCGCTTTACGAGGGCCGGGAAGACCTTGACCAGGATGCCCTGCGACAGTTTTCCGTACTTTAAACTGCGTGTGTAGAGGGAGAGGGTGCCCTCTTCGAAGATGTTCTGGTGAGGAATCGCATTATTAATCAGAAATCAACCGGAGAGGTGGAGGTTTGAAAATCACCTGCACTTCCGCGGAGATGAGATCTCCTTCATCTAGGTATCGCCTCATCATCTGCTCGTCCTCGGCGGATCTCCTTCTGAGCTCACCACCTGGCAAATTCACCGACGACAGCAGGAGCATGGAATCGAGCCGGGAATTCGTGTCAACACGCCAACGCTTCTGTTGCACTTCGATGACGCGGGCCACTACCACATCCCCAATCTCGCCCACATAGCGACTCTTGAGCGGACGCAGTGAGATCAGCTTGTTGACTTTCTCGATCACTCCTGCCACCGAAGCCTTGATGACCTCGTCCTCCACGAAGGTGCCATGTCCGCGCATGAAACCCGCTTCCGGCATCAGCACCTCGCCGGGTGTGTAGATGCGGGGCAGGTGTCCCGGATGGGCGGTCAGATCCCGCCAGTCCACCCGATCCAGGGCCAAGTCTATCGTAGCATTTGTGGACATTTCGGTGGGTTGGATTAAGTTTAATTAATTAAGTTTTATTAAATTTAAAAAAGGTAAACAAGCAACAGCTGGCGAAACACGCGTTCCTCGTATTAGAAAATATTAATGTAACCGCCGGCTTTTCCGTTTATAATGCTGAAAATTTCTTCAGAAAAATCCAGTATTTCCTTCTCCACAGCAGCTGGCCACACTAAATTGCTGAAGTCTGCTGGCGAATGGCGTTGCCAGACTTGTTTATCCGGATCAGCTGTTATCTGTTGTGGCCAGTTGTTGTTGTTGTTCCGTGAAAAAATTGCGAAGTAATGAAAAACTAAGAAAATCACAAGGAAAATGGACCAGCCCGATGACCATTTCCGCTATATACACAGCTCCTCGCTCCACGAACGCGTCCAGATCAAGGTGTATGTGTTTCTATACCTGGAAAACCCCTGAAAAAGTGTCCCTGAGTGTGAAGAACCTTTTTCCTTTTCAGTGGCACCCTTGAGGGCAAGAAGCGCCAGCCGGACTATGAAAAGCTGCTGGATGATCCTATCCTACGCTTCTCGGGCCTCTACTCCGAGGAGCATCCCTCGTTCCAGGTGCGCCTGCAGGTGTTCAACCAGGGCAGGCCCTACTGCCTGCCCGTGACCAGCTCGTACAAGTCCTTTGGCAAGCGTTGGAGCTGGAACGAGTGGGTGTCGCTGCCCTTGCAGTTCTCAGATTTACCTCGCAGCGCCATGCTTGTCCTGACCATCTTGGATTGCTCCGGCGCTGGGCAAACTACTGTGATTGGTGGCACTTCCATTTCGGTGTTTGGCAAGGATGGCATGTTCCGCCAAGGCATGTACGATCTGCGGGTTTGGCTGGGCGTTGAGGGGGATGGCAGCTTTCCCAGTAGAACGCCTGGCAAGGGCAAGGAGTCCTCCAAGTCTCAAATGCAGAGATTAGGAAAGCTGGCCAAGAAGCATCGCAATGGCCAGGTGCAAAAGGTGGACTGGCTGGACAGGTTGACATTCCGCGAAATCGAGGTGATCAACGAGCGGGAGAAGCGCATGTCCGACTATATGTTTTTAATGATTGAGTTTCCCGCCATCGTCGTGGATGATTCCTACAATGTGAGTGGATCTGGGGGATCTTTGGATATTTAGAAGAGCTCTGAATGTATTATTTTATCCGCAGTATGCAGTGGTTTACTTTGAGGCGGAGGGAGATGTCAAGTACAAGCTGCCAGCCAAGCCCAAGTTGGTATCCGTGCCGGATTCGGAGATTCAAATGGTAAGGAAGGTCCTTGGAGCTTATTACCCGATGAATCCAAAGCTATAAACCTTTGTATTCTTAAAGGAAAACCTGGTGGAAAGAAAGCACCATCGCCTGGCCCGTTCGGAGCGCTCTGGAATCTCTGACAGAGATGCCAAGCCCACCGCCAGGTAGAACTACTAAACCCTTCTTAAACAACTTCCCATCTAAAACCTCTCTTAACCCGCAGCATTCGTGACCAGCTGCACACCATAGTGTACAGGTATCCCCCCACTTATGTGCTGAGCAGCGAGGAGCAGGATTTGGTCTGGAAGTTCCGCTTTTATCTTTCCTCCCACAAAAAGGCACTGACCAAGTTCCTTAAGTGCATCAACTGGAAACTGGAGGATGAGGTCACCCAAGCTCTCTGGATGCTGGCCAACTGGGCGCCCATGGATGTAGAGGATGCCCTGGAGCTACTGAGTCCCACATTCACCCATCCCCAAGTGCGAAAGTATGCTGTGAGTCGCCTGGCTCAAGCTCCCGACGAGGATCTCCTGCTTTACCTGCTCCAACTGGTGCAGGCTCTCAAGTACGAGGATCCTCGGCACATTGTCCACCTGCATGGCTGCATCTTTCCCGAAAGGGATGTGGTGCGCTCTATCCTAGATGACAATGGCTCGCTGTTGGATCAGAGCAGTCTCTCGGATTTGAGTGCCGCCAGTAGTGGCCTCCATGCCTCTGTTATTCCAGCCAATCAGCGAGCGGCCAGTGTCTTGGCTGCCATCAAGAGTGACAAGTCGGTGAGTCCGGGCTCAACGGGTGGCCAGGGATCTTCGTTAGCCCCAGGACCGTCGACTCCTGCTACACCAGGCGGCAGTTCCCTGCCCTGTGACTCCAACTCCAATGCTTTGATGCTGGCCGAGGGCATTAGCTTTGGCAGTGTTCCGGCCAATCTTTGCACATTCCTCATCCAGCGAGCCTGCACAAATGCCACGCTGGCCAATTACTTTTACTGGTACCTGTCCATCGAGGTGGAGGAGGTGGAGTCGGTGAGGAAGCAGGATGAGCGGGCCCATGACATGTATGCCATGGTGCTTAAGATGTTCTTGAAGGTCTTGGAGAATGGTGAGTGAAGTGGTGAGTGAAAGAGAAATCTTTTATACTTACTCTTTTTATTCCCAGGCAACTTTAACCTTCGCGGCATCTTTTATAATCTCCGCAAGCAACGTCGCTTTATTGATGAGCTGGTCAAGCTGGTTAAACTGGTGGCCAAAGAGCCGGGTAATCGCAATAAGAAAACGGAAAAGTTCCAGAAACTCCTAGCCGAGCAGGATATGTTCAAGGTGAACTTTACCAACTTTGAGCCCATACCTTTTCCCCTGGATCCGGAGATTTACATCACCAAGATTGTGCCCATGAGGACGTCGCTCTTTAAGAGCGCCCTAATGCCAGCCAAGTGGGTTTTTCATCTTTATAAATAGAATATCTACTTATAATTTATCTTCTTTAGACTCACCTTTGTCACCTCCATTGCTCAGCATGAATATGCAGCAATTTTCAAGCATGGCGATGATCTGCGTCAGGATCAGCTCATCCTGCAGATGATCACCCTAATGGACAAGCTTTTACGAAGAGAAAACCTCGATTTGAAGTTGACTCCTTACAAGGTGCTGGCCACCAGCTCTAAGCATGGCTTCTTGCAGTATGTGGACTCCTGTACGGTCGCCGAGGTCCTGGCTCGCGAGGGCAATATCCACAACTTTTTCAGAAAGCATCATCCCTGCGATAATGGACCCTATGGCATATCGGCAGAGGTCATGGACACTTATATCAAGAGTTGTGCGGGCTACTGTGTGATAACGTACCTGCTGGGTAAGTCTCTAACATTACCTTGGAGGATTTTCCTTCTTAATTCCTTGTATTTTCCAGGCGTGGGTGATCGTCACCTGGACAATCTGCTTTTAACCACCAATGGCAAGCTCTTCCACATCGATTTCGGTTATATCCTGGGCCGTGATCCCAAACCCATGCCACCGCCCATGAAGCTTAGCAAGGAGATGGTGGAGGCCATGGGTGGTATTAGCTCAGAGCATCACCATGAATTCCGCAAGCAATGCTATACGGCTTACCTGCATCTGCGACGTCATGCCAATGTGATGCTTAATTTATTCTCCCTGATGGTGGATGCCACCGTGCCGGATATAGCCCTGGAGCCGGATAAGGCGGTCAAGAAGGTGGAGGAGAATCTGCAGTTGGGTTTAACGGATGAGGAGGCTGTCCAGCATTTGCAAAATCTTTTAGATGTGAGCATTACAGCGGTAATGCCGGCGCTGGTAGAGCACATCCATCGTTTCACTCAGTACTGGCGGAAGTAGGATTTAGGATTTAGTTGTAGTCGTAGTAGCCTGTATTCACAAGTCTGTTATCCGGAATTTAAATGTAACTCTATAACCAGCTTTGACTTTGACTCAAAAGTTTCTTATTTTCTAATTTTATTCAAGAGGTAACCATGAAGGTGCGTTCCAAGAAGCCCGTTTGGTTCCTGTTCAAGGTCTTGGAGGTGCTCTTAAGCCTGTCCTGCTGCCTCGTCCACTGGAACTGTTTCCGGCATCGTGGTGTCCCGCATGTCTTCCTGCTGTGCGCCGCCTATGGTGGCTCTGTAATTATTGGAATTTTATCCATAATTGGTTCATTTTATGCGGAGAAACCGAAAATGAAACATGAGGCAGCACACGCTGGTATACTCGGTGCCTTTCACCTGTTCACCCTGTTCGCTCACATGCACTTGGTCACCATGAAGAAGTATCATCCCCAGGATTGGGTTAGCTTCTATAGATGCAGCCGGAACAATGCCATGGTTGCCCTCTATGCCGCCGCTATTTACTTTCTGCACTTGACCTTTGCCCTGGACCTGATGCTCTCACACAAATTCAAAGCGAAGAGGCATCCGGTGAGGAGTAAGCGTCCGCTCAGCCTCTATTTCATCAGTCCGGGGGTGGAGGCGTATGTTAGTCGTTTCTGGTGGTTCCAGCACTTGGCCAGCAAGATGCTAACCAGTGCCCAGCCCTCGGAGCATTCCAGCAGGAACAGGAATATGTCCTTTGACACGGAATCGGATGAAGAAGAGCAGCGAGTGTCCGTAACGAAGCAGCCGGAGGAGGCCAGAAATTCGGGGGTGTTTCGAAGGTCGGGCGAGATGAGAGAGCTTCCCATATAAATTGTTTAATTAGTTAATTTTAATTATAAAATATTAATCCTACAGTTCTCTGCTTCCGTTACTTTTTAAATTCCAACGGATTTCCTCGCGCATCCCTGGTCTGCGATCAGCTGTTTATCACACAAACAACCCTGTCTTTGTGTGCCCGCGCACTTTGACAGCTGTTCGTTTACGGTTATTCGAGCTAGCAGTGTTGTTTTTTATGTTTGCTGCAATTACTACAATTCTGTGATAAATTCCCCATAAATTCAAGCTCTCCCAGTGGAAACCAACTCTATAATGGCAAGGGCGATGGCAAACAGCAGCAGTGCGGTAAGTCCTTAGGGGAAGCGTCCATTTTCCCATTGTTCAGATGCATTGCTGGAAATTTCTCGTCTGCAAACTTTTCTGATTTTCATAGTTCGATGCGTGGTGCAGGAAAACTTCTGCCTCTGTGTGTGTGTGTGTGCCACCGCTGCCTCTGTGGTTTTAGTTAGTGGCAGGTATTTCGAACCTAAAACTTTTGCTAAAAGTTAGTCTAGCCGGGGCCACTAAAGTTGCCGGCAGACGCAGCACCGCAATGTAAGCACACACACATACACATAGAGACACCCGCAACCACACACATACATACATATAAACCTTAAGTCCCAGGCGGCCAACCAAGTTGAGTCGTGTCCTAAAACCTCACATGCCACAGTGGAAACTTGTTAAGTGGAACTAGCAGCAGGTTTTGAAAATCTTAATTCCAATTAGAACAGTGGAACTTCCAATCCGAAAACATCTTTAGCCACAGTAGAAACTCGTTAGTTGGAATTAGGAAAAGTATTTGAAATGTTGAATGCCAATAATTACAGTAGAACTTCCAATTAGAATTTTGTGGGCTCTGAGATCTTCTTTGAATTAAATTTAAAAATTATATTTAAAAAATTTCAATTGAAATTAAAAAATTAAAATTAATTTAAAAAAAACTGAAATTTTTGCTTTAAATTTAAATCCTAACAAAGTTTTCGAAAAAAAGCTAAAACACTTAGATTTGTTTTTATAAAATTATTTCCATGTTTTTTATAATTAAGAATTGATTTTATTTAATTTAAATATTAACACAATAATTTAAAACAAGCAAAAAAGACAACACTGAAGTGAGTCACCCAGCGGGCAACTGCACTCAGCTTGGCCTTTTGTTATTGTCTGCGGTTTGGTGGCTGCAAGCCACCGACCAAGCCCCCCCACCGCCCACTCTGCTCTCCACTCCCTCTCTGGAGCCACCTTCCTCCCCCCGCCTCATCGTCCTTTTGGGTTGAAAGCAGCACGTGTTCATTTTCGTGCAAAGTCACTTGGAATGCCAAGTTGAAGTTATGTGTGCGCCTTTTTTTTTGTATATTTTTTTATTTTTTCTGCAGACAGTATCTATGTATGTATATATGTATTTCTGTGTGCGAGTGGGTGGGTGTGGGTGTGCGGAAAAGCGTGTGTGCATCTGAAAGATACTACATTTTCTAGATCACAGCATGTTTGGTTTAGTTGGCAGCTAAATTTCACTACGTGCAGTTTGCGGTGGGTGTTAAAAGTTTTAGTTTCGCAAAGATCGGGGAATGCCAACTATGTTCGGCAATAACAAATCCGCCGGCCGCTGATAGCGATAAAACATCGAGTGAATAAGATTAATTGTTATATGACGAAGAGTAAATTATGAATGTGCATTATCTAATATAACACCACACAGATAACTGTCTTTGGAGATGAGTGAGAATAACTTACGGGCATTAGAAGCGATGATTCACATTTTGGAGGTTTAGTTTACAGTTTGTTATTACTTGGAAAAATCTTTTTAATTACTATTTGAATCATTTTAAATTTCCGGTTATTAATAGGACTTTTAAAATCGAAAGAAAAGAAAAGTTATATAGTTTTATGGTATTTTAAATATAGGTTTTTATAAGATTTTCTGAACATTGTATTGTTTCGGGGTGAATAGCTCAGTTTACAGTTTAAATTACTTTAAAAAAATATTCTAAAATAATAACTGATTTCGTATTTATTTATCTGTTTATGAGTCTTGCCCCATAAAAAAGCTTAACTTTATCAAAACCGCACCCCACTTTATAATCAATCCCATTAACCCCTCTAAAAAATATTATAAAGATTTGTCATAACATTGCAAAATTATCAATAGAACCGAAATATCTAAAGCAACCCTTTTCAAAAAAAAGTTATCCAATTTCTCACAGTAAGTGTAAGCTGATAGTAATTCGAGCTAAAGAAGCTATAGAAGCTAGCACGTTCCATTAATTAGTAATCGGTCTCCGGGTCTGGGTCTTTTCCCTCCCTTTCGTTCAGTTCTGGGAACACTATGCTAGTTTGGCTATAATTTCACAATCAACTCATGGGTGCGACTGACTGTAATTGAAGTCTTGGCTCTCTGACTGACTTCCTATATATACATTTGTGTGTGCAGAGTCGGTTGGTTTTAACTGGAACTTTTGGGTTGTCGTCGAGTCGTTCTGTCTGTCTCCCCCATTGGACGAACCTAACTCCCGAAGCGAAGGTTCCCATAGTTTTTCCTATGCCAACCCCCTTACTTCCCGCTTTTAAGCCCCCCCAAAAAAAAGCGCTGTGTACGTGCCGCTAGTGCAGCTTAGCTCCATAGATTGTCCGTCCGTCCGTTTGGTGGTAATCAGTTTACGCTGACGTCGTTTGCTTACCACTTTCCTCTCTCAATACCACCGCCCCGAGCCCGCTTTTACCCAATACGCCAGTGACCCTGCAACTAAGCAGTTGGGGGCATTATAATAGGTTATATTATAGTTAAAAACTAGATTAATTTATTCTTAATAAATAAAAGAAATATTATTTAAGACCAAAAAACTTATTAAGCTGATAAAGAAGATTGACTATCTTCTGATTTTAATTTAAAGTTTAACTGTAGATATGAAATTATATCAATTCAAATCAAAGATTATAGCTTCTAATTTTCAATTCTATCCTTTGTCAATATTTTTCTGACCTCATCTGTGGATTAGTATGCACATTCATATTCAAATCCAAGTGCAAGTCGTGTAGCTACATGCGAAACTCTATGTAAACCGAAATGGTTTTCATTTATTTATTTTTTGTTGTTGTTTTCTTTTTGTTTTTTTTTCACTTCTATTTTGCTGCTGTTCGTTTTTCATGAACCGATACTAACACGAGTGCTACTATTTCAGTTGGTTACTAAACATTTAGTGCCTCCCCGGGAACTCCCCGTCTTTCCCTATCCGAAAAATCGAGGGAAGCTGACTAAGCGAACGGGCAGCTAGAAAACGGCAGCAGCGGATGAAATGTCGCGCTATATTAACCATATTGCTACTCGGGAGCCAGCCAAAGGGGCTTTGCTTTGGCTTTTGCATACTCTGTGCTGCCCATGCTCCATACTTGGTTGAGGGGGCTGGGAGCCTCTTATCCTCCTTCCACCCTCCACACGCCGCCCTTGGCCCGAAGCTGTAGCCTGGCAGTTGCTCCATTTGTTTTTGTTTGTGTATTGTGATGCGAGCGTTCAAGTACAGTGGAGTGTCTCTCACCTCTTTTGGTATTTTAGCGCTAGAATTTCCAACTTTAAAATCGACAAAGATTTTATTAGAAAATATAAGAGCAAATCCTTACTTAAAAGAAATTTAGAAGATTTTGTTGACAGCTGGAGTTCTCGAGCTTCTTTTGTGGAAATTATATTAATAAACTATAATTCCAGGACCCACTGTACTATTTGTATGTGCTTCAGTGTGGCGCTGCATTTGTCATTGTTGTTGTTGACGTCCACAACGTGATAAAAACTTTAAACATTGAATTGTGATACTTCGTCACTTGGTTGTAAATTGAAATAAGACTACCTTCCCTCCCCCTGCTACAACGCCTTCTCGCCTGCCACTCCTTTGACCGTTAAGCGAAACGCGAAGCGAAAGCAAAAACAAAATAGATGGGGAAAAAATCAAATAAAAACAAAATTCTCTTGCAATTGTCAGCAAATTTTCTTCAAATGCGAGAACATACAACAATAACAACATGAGTTGCAAGGCGAAGAAGAAAAGCAAAAAGAAAAAGGAGAAGTGCAACTAGAAGGGGGCCGGTGAGGTGGAGGAGGCGTAGCAGATAAAAAAGGAGAAGCAAGAGGCAGAGTAAGAAGGAGCTGCTGTGGCTGCAACTGAGACATTTGTTTAGTTAAGTTTCAGTTTTTGTAAGTTTTATGTTTTAAATGCAAACACATACATACACACATTTGTTTATTTGTATAGGTAGATGCATGTGCATACTCATTATTTATGTATGTGGGAAGCTTTTGCGCCCGATTCCATATATTCCATTCCTCGATTCCGATTCCACTTCCAATTCCAGTGCAGTTTCTGACGCCTTCGGTTTGGCGCTCCTCTCCGTGTTTTTAGATATTTTTCTCTATTTTTTTTGTTTAGTTTTCTGTGGTTTTAGTCATCCTCCTTTATTTTTGTTGTGCTTTTTAATTTCTTATTTGATTTGCGTCTTTTTTTTTTTTGACTGTGCAAATTAAATAAATAATAAACGTGACTAAAATTTATAATGAACTTCTTCAAAAAAAACTCATAAATAAATTAAACAAAAGAAAGCCAAAAAAGAACGTCACAAATTGTAAGCAAAGTGAAGAATTTGCATACAATTTAAACGCATAAATCTTTGATATATCTTTTTTTATGGTGAGTTTTTATATTAAATTGTTTAAATAATATTCTCTGGCTTTTATTATTGAATTTTTGATTAAACAGGGGTTAATCAATAAATTTTTAATTATAAGAAATAAAAATCAGTGGCTTAAAAGGCTTACGAATTTATGATTATTACAAAAAAATATATATTTCTCATAGCAAAATTGTTACAATTGAGTCTTACAAAGCTTAAAGGTTTGTTAAATTGGAATTATTTGAAAAGGTTCTCCCAAATTGAGGGTTTTCTATCGTTCTATCTTCACCAATATTCGAAAAATAATGACCATTAATAATGATTACATTAAAATTAAAAACTAATTTTGATTTAAGACAAAGTAATAGGAATAATCTCAA